GACTAGAGTCTCCTTTCAAACAAATGCTTGGCTGTGTTGTACTCTGGACATTCTATTTGCAGTTTGCCATTCCTTTTAACTGGTTAGCAACTTGCCTCTTTGCATTCTCCCTCTCTGCTGCTTCCAACACAATATATTCCTATTACTATATTTGTCTACTATGATATTTAGAAATTGTTTCTCCATGTTTGTAAGACGCCACTGAAATCATCACTGATCCCTCAGGAAGGGTGTTCTGGAATTGTTCACATTCTTCACCATTTACAACTTACTTCAAGAATTGCCTATAATCCTGAAAATGTATCAATCACCAGATAGTCTGGGAAAATTGAGTTAAAATAGTATTACATATTGATCTGAATTATGTAGACCCAGGGAAGAAACAACCATATGAAGGTCTAGTTGTTTAAAAAAAATTCTCTTTGAAATAATAGATAAGATTTAAATTCTAAAATAAGCTGGAGCTGGGTGCTATGGCTCACGCCTGTCATCTCAGCACTTTGAGAGTCAGGGTGGGAGGATTGCTTAAGCTCAGGAGTTCAATATCAGCCTGGGTAATATAGTAGGATCTCATCTCTACAAATATAAAAAATAATAGCCAGACATGGTGGTGTGTGGCTGTAGTCCTAGCTACTTGGAGGACTGGGGTAGGAGGATCACTGGAGCCCAGGAGGTCAAGGCTGCAGTGAGCTGTGATTGTGCTGCTGCACTCCAGTCTGGGTGATAGAGCAAGACCCTTTCTCAAAGAAATGAATGAATCAATGAATCAATGAATCAATAAAATAAGCTGGAAAATGCAGCTGATAGAAATAATAGTTTACATGCTGACCCCAAAAAATTGGTGAAGTGACAGCAAGATTTGGAAAGGCTGGAAAATATTTTTTCTTAGTTAACATTTGTATGTTGATCATTTTCTGTCAATTTGTAAGAATATGTGATGACATTTAATCTCATACTTATTTTACCAGTTATAGATTTTTCTCTGTAATTGTGAGAAATATATTGTTAAACAGACAACAGAGTAGATGTTATAAATAATGTTTTCTTGCAGAAATTATGAACAAATAAATATTCTCCTCCTGCTTTTTTCTGTCTAGAATAGTGCCTGGAATATAGTAGACACGCAATAAATCATTGAATAAATTAATAAATAAAAATTAAGTTCAAGTTACATTCTTTATCAATGCACTTGAAAAAATATATATTTTTTTCACTGGGATTATGATTTCTGACTAAGTTTATAACTGTAACTATATTTTTGGCTTTTGCTTATTACGGAATCACTTAAAATCAGGTTGTTGCCTCAGGAAACATTTGGGCAACATGCAAGAAGGACTGCCCAACCTGATCATAATTCTTGTGTATGGTTCACTGGCAAGCAGTCATGGAAGGACTCAAATTTCATATTTATTTTGAATACTTGCTTCAGGTATTCAAATAATATAAGTTGGCCTCTTAAAATTAATATGCCAATAAGGATAGACAAATAAATTCATGTAACAGGATAGACAGTCCAGAAACATATGGTCAATTTACATACATGGTCAATGGTCAATTCATTTTTGATGAAGATGCCAAAACAATTCAATGGAGAGAGGAAAATCTTTTTAACAAATGAGAGTGAAACAACTGGATGCATGTAGGTATAACCATTAACTCCCTACTTTCTTCTTTTTTCTTTCTTTTTTTTTTTTTGAGACAGAGTCTTGCTCTGTCGCCAGGCTGGAGTGCAGTGGCGCGATCTCGGCGCACTGCAACCTGCAACCTCCGCCTCCTGGGTTCAAGCGATTCTTCCATCTCAGCCTCCCAAGTAGCTGGGACCACAGGCACGTGCCACCACACCCAGCTAATTTTTGTATTTTTAGTAGAGACAAGGTTTCACCATGTTGGCCAGGATAGTCTCGATCTCTTGACCTCGTGATCCGCCCGCCTTGGCCTCCCAAAGTGCTCAGATTACAGGTATGAGCCACTGCGCCCGGCAACTCCCTACTTTCACTATACACAAAAATTAACTAAAGATGGATCATGGAACTAAATATAAAAGCAAACATGATAAGGCTTTAAGAAGAGAAAAATATTTATGATCCTAATATGTGCAAATATTTTGTGCTAGACAAAACAAAAAAGAACAAAAAGGACTAAGTATGAAAGCAAAATATGACAAATCACACTTTCTTTTAATTATAAACTTCTGCACATTAAAAAAACATTAAGAAAATTACAAGGCAAGATATAGATTGGGAAGAAATGTTTGCAAGACACATATATTTAAAAATTGGATTGTCTAAAATTTTAACTTTATAAAGTTAAACCTATACCTACCCAATGGTATTGACATTTTAAATAATTACCTAAGAAAAATGAAAGTATATGTCCACCAAAGTCATATACAAATGTTTACAGTAGCTTTACTCATAGTAGTAAAAAACTGGAAATAACATAAATATACATCAACAGATAAATGGATACAAAATTACGGCATATTCATACAATAGAATATTGTTTCACAATACCAATGAACAAAGTACTAATATACACTACATGGATAACTTTGAAAATTGTGCTGCTGAAACATTCAAATGCAAAAGAAGTATAGATACTGAATGATTCCATTTATATAAAACCCTAGAATAGGCGAAGCTAATCTCTAGTGACAGAAAACATATCAGTGATTGCTTGGTGGGTAGGTGCATGAATGGAAAATTGACTACAAAGGTTAATGGACATTTTCTATATTTATATCTTTGTAGGTTCCATAGATGTAATTATTTGTAAAAACTCATCAAATTGTGTCCTTAAAATGGGTGCATTTTATTGTATATGAGTTATATATCAATAAAGAAAACATTAAAAAGAAAAAAAAACTATTTTAAATGGGCAAAAGGTGTGAATAGATAATTTTTTTAAAAGATACAAATCTCCTAGAAGCTCATGTAAAAGTACTCCATTAGTCACCAGGAATTTGCAAATTATGACCATTGTGATATATTATTCCATACTTATTACAAATATCCACCCTGTCACCCATTATTTTCACTCCTGGATCTGAATCCAGAATAAATAAAAACATACATCTAATAAGACTTGAGCGGGCTTCTTTTATTTTCCCACATATAAGTGAGATCATATAGTGTTTGTCTTTCCTTATCTGGCTTATGTCACTTCATCTAATGTCCTCAAGATCTGCCCATGTTGTTGAAAATAGCAGGACTTTCTTCTCTTTTAAAGTTCAGTAATATTCTATTGTATGTTATACCACATTTTCTCCGTCCATTTATCTGTTGATTGATAATTTGTTCCCATATCTTGACTGTTGTGAATAAAGCTGCAATGAACAAGGGAGTGCAGATATATCTTTAATATGCTAATTTCATTTTCTTTGGATATCTACCCAGCAGTGGGATTGCTAGATCAGATGGTAGTTCTATTTTTAAATTTTTGAGGAACTTCTGTACTGTTTTCCATAATGGCTGTATTAAATTACATTCCCACTGACAGTGTATAAGGGTTCCCTTTTCTCCACATTCCTGCCAAGACTTGTTATCTTTTGTCTTTTGATAACAGCCATTCTCACAAATGTAAGGTAATATCTCATTGTGATTTTTATTTGCATTTCCCTGATGATTAGTGATGGTAAGCATCTTCATATACCTACCTGTTGAGCACAATAGTAGTTACCATGGGAGGGGGATGAGGTAAAGGGGAGACAGGCAAAGTGTACAAACCTTCAGCTGTAAGATGAGTAAATTCTGGAAACCTAATATACAGCATCATGACTATAATAAATAATTGTTATACTTAATAATAACTAAAATGTGCTAAGATGGATCCTAAACATTCTCCCCACACCCAAAAAAGGTAACTATGTGATATAATGAATATTTTAATTAGCTTGATTATGGTAATTATTTCACAATGTCTACATATATCAACACGTTTCATGATACACCCCAAATATATGCGATTTTTGTCAATCATACCTCAATAAAGCTGTAAAAAATTAGACATAATAAAATTAGGAGAAAAGTGACTTGTGCAAGAATGCTTATAGCTGCTTTAGCTGTAAGAGGCCCAAACTAGAAACAAACCAAATACCAATCAATAGATAAACAAATGTAAAATAAGCATATAATGCAATTATACTTACCTTTGAAAAGAATTGTACTACTGATTTAAAAAGCCACATCGAAATGTTTGAAAAACATTCTGCTGAGCTAAAGATGTCAGTCCAACAATATAATATATAAGGTATCATTCTGTTCATATAAAGTTAATGAATGGCCAACTATTATTTAGGGATAGAAGTCTAAACAGTGGCCACCTATGGAGGAGAGATTGGCTGGAAAGGATGTGAGGAAACATGCTGGGGTGAAAGAAATGTCCTGGGCCCTGACTGAGGTGACCGTGACATTGTTGTATATACCTGTTAAACTCACTGATTTTAGAAACTTGAATTTAAGAACTCAACATTGGTTACGATTTGCTCCAGATAGATTTTATCTCAAATAATTAAAAAATGCCAGCCAAGCCAATTGAGCAATTATGGCCTTTAACACCCCTTTTCTTTCATGGGTAACCTGTCCAATAAACATATAGTCCTGAATTAATGTTAAAACCCTACTTTATCTACTTTTCTTTGAAGAAAATTATTTTAAAAATCATTCTTTCAAATACAGTTTTATTATCTTTTAGGTATCAGAACATTTAATCCATCGTTCACTCACCATTGCCAGCATCCAAAGAAGTAAAATGATATTTATTGTTTTGTTTAGTAGTATTTGATATTTTTCACTTAAGAACTAATTATTATTATCATTTAGATTTCTTTTCTATAGCAAGGAAATATTTACTGACTACTGGTGAGATGCCAATGGAAGAGACCAAGAATATCTAAGAGAGTCAGGTGTTATTAGTTGAAAGGTTTGAGATTTAAGGCCTACCAGACAACATAGAATGTACATACCCTGTGACAGCCTCACCTTGCAACATTTGTTCTTTACCTTTTTATTTTGGCTTTTAGCATGGCATGCTGAGCACCTCTGAGTTTTCAGGGAAGGGGCTGATGGAAACAGGAACAGAATAGCTAGGAGCTCCAAGATTCACGTCCCTTCTTGCAGGAGTTGGTGTGTTTGTGAGGCTGCTGAGTAACAGGAACCACAGCCTTTGTCGCCTGGATGTATCCTGGCAACCTGTCAACAGAAGGGACGGGACTGAGTTCTCTAGTGACTGATGGGAAATAGAGAGCAAAGTAGGTATGGTTCTCAGCTTCCTTTTCAATTGGCTCCAGGAACTTTACCGGTGGACTGAACAACCAGCAGGGACAGATAAATTTAAGTCACAAGGCTCTTCTTGGTATAGAAACACATCTTTTTATTTTTTAAGGAAGAAAACAATATTTACTGATTATCTTATTGATCTTTTCTAGAGACTTTAAAAAATTCTATGACAGCTAATGCTGAGTGTCAAGTTGATTGGACTGAAAGATGCAGAGTATTGATCCTGGGTATGTCTGTGAGGGTGTTGCCAAAGGAAATTAACATTTGAGTAAATGGATTGGGAAAGGCAGACCCACCTTCAATCTGGGTGGACACCATCTAATCAGCTGCGAGCATGGCCAGAATAAAGCCGGCAAAGGGTAGAAGGACTTGACTTGCCTAGTCTTCTGGTCTTCAGCTTTCTCCCATGCTGGATCCTTCCTGCTGTGGAACGTTGGACTCCACGTCTTCAGCTTTTGGACTCTGGAACTTACATCAGTGGTTTGTCAGGGGCTTTGAGGCCTTTGGCCACAGACTGAAGGCTGGACTGTTGGCTCCCGTACTTTTGAGGTTTTGACTTCCCTGCTCTTCAGCTTACAGATGGCCTATTGTGGAACTTCACCTTGTGATCATGTGACATGTGAGTCAATATGTCTTAATAAACTCCCTGTCATATATATATATATATATATATATATATATATAATCTTACTATCTTACTATTAGTGTATATATATATATATATATGCTAATACTATATATATAGTATATATATACACAAATACTATATATATATATACTATTAGTATATGTATGTGTGTATATATATACTATATATATATTATTTGTATATATATATACTATATATATATAGTATTAGTATATATATAGTATTAGTATATATATATATATACTAATAGTAAGATAGTAAGATAATTGTAGTATAATTCCATGATGAAATACTCTGAAAGCATTAAACCTTATGATGCAACAGCTTATTGACCTGGAAAAAAGTTTACAATATATTGCTAAATGAAAGAGAGAAGCTACAAAACAGAATAGATAGTATAATCTCATCAAATTATTTGTGTGTGCTCATGTGCACACAAACACACAATTAACTCAAAGAATATACGCCCCAAAATTAACAGTGGTTACGTATGGGTGGTGAGATTAAGGAATATTTTACTGAATGTTCCTTAGGCGTTAGCAAAACAACAACAACAACAACAACAAACTTGACCTCTAATATTGCAAAACCATCCCCCTTGTCCCAGATAATGTAATTGGGATATGGAGGTAATTCACAGGACTCCTAATTCTGCTGAAGTGACTCTTCAGGCCACACAAGCGAGAGATCCCAAGAGATAGTAAAGTTTCACATCCTTACTATTCTAACTATTCTAGATATCTAATCTAACTATTCTAGGCATCTAATCTAGATCCTACATATATAATCTAACTATTCTAGATATCTAATTTATGAGATAATATATTTCTAATTTAGATGCTTCCGAAATTATGATACCATATAAAAATAATAATACATGCATACAATAACATAGAGCTGACATTGTATCAGTTAGTAAATATTGAGATGGGGACAAGAAAACTTTGTTTTACATGTTGCCTTTTACTAACCTGTAGCCCTTAGTTATCACACTTTTCACTTTACACAAACTGCATGTTTTATCGGCCCTATTGTGAGCCTAATGTGATCTTTCTCTAAAGAAAGTGCCTAATAAATAAACATCATCCCAAATACACACCCAATATTCAGTCCAGTGGCTGGCTATTTGGGCCAGATGGCAGAAGAAGAGACAGGAAGTGCTGGCCTACAGCAGAACAACCACAGGAAAACATCACGAGAGTGGATATTTCTGAGCTAAAGCAGGGCAGAGTCTCTATTCCGGCTGGAGCAACTCTTAGGAGGCCCAAGAATAACAGAACTTGCAAGCGTTGTTAGCTGTAGCTAATGGTGCACTCACGGCCCTCTCTTCCTTGGTGCGGTGGCCGAGGTGCCAGCTGCTTTTCTGCATTCATCGAAGCTGCTTCTAAAACTGGCTGGAGTGGAGCCTTCGTTTTTTCCCAAATTCTGAACTCATTTTTATTTCATGGGTTTGTAGTTTCAGCCTAAATTGAACTTCCTAGTGTTCAAACGTATTTCATCTTGGCAAAAGAGGCATTCCTAGGTGCTCTGTCTCTCTCTCTCCCTTTCTCCCTGTCTCTCTCGCTCTCTCTGGTCTTTTTGAGGGACCAAAACTTTTAAGCTGCTTGTATTTTTTTTAAAGCATGCGCAGAGGCATCTTGGACATCAGATAGCTCTTACAACACACAACCTTTTGATGGTTTAAGTGTAAATGAAGCAGAAACATATGGATTCTATTTTCCATAAATCACAAACGGTCCTAAAAAATCAAGAAGGGTATGTGTTCTGCACGATGTATTCTGTTTATTTGAACCCGAAACATCTGAAGAATACTTGGAGGCTAATGAATCCAAAATATTTACCCATCCCTATTTATAACATTGTCGGGAGCCCTTGATTTATGGTGACAGCTAAACTGCTCACATCTGTTGAGTGGGCAACCAGCAACCAGTGTGAGCTTCAAAGATAACCATATTCCTTCTTCTGTTCCGGGTCCAGGCATTCAGTAAGTCAGCCTCAGATCAAAGACACTGAAGCCTTTAGCTGAGTTGGTCTGGTTTGCTCTTGCTTGAGCATTTCTCACCTAAAACGATTGCCAAATTGCCAGTTATTTCATGTGATGTGACGTCCAATCATGCTTGTGTCACTGTGGGATGATGCCAGCCTCCATCAATAATCCAGATCTGACCCCTTGTGGCAGCAGCCCCACCACATGGAATTCTGGATTATTTTCCCTTCATAAAATCACAGCTGTTGTGCCCGCACAAGCCCCTGACTTTTTCATTAAAGGTATAAATCATATTTTCATGGAGCAGGAGAAATTCTTCTCCTTGTTTGTATCTCTGCCCACAAGACTCTTCATTGATGAAAAGACCAAATCTTACTTTGCGAGCTACCAGTAATCCTTTGGAGTTTGTTTAAACTTGGCAGGGACTACATTCTGTGAGCAAAAGAAAACTGCAATGGCAGCAGGAGGGTTCCAAACATGATGTTTGTGAAGTCTGGCAGAATAGGTCCACCGAGTGCCTTGGTCTCTTCTACCCAATTGCTGTTTAATTCATTCTTATCACCTAACTCAGAAACAGCAAATTGCAGCCACCTGATATCCATTATCCCAAATCTTTTAACCATCCTACAAGGCAGGCATTTGTATCCTTGTTTGACAGATTAGAAAACTGGGGCTGAAGGGCATTAAGCAACTTGCCCCCTTGGCAAGGATATTCTAAAGCAAATCTGGGATGGACATGTGTGTCTTTCTGGTGCCCAGTGGCTTTTCTTCCACTGCCTTCTGCTAGATCTTGCTGGCACATTGCCATACCCAACAAATAACATCTTCTATGAGTTGCACAGACTCAGTAAACATTTAAAAACCAGACTCTCATGTCCCTGTTTCAGGAGGCTTTACAATAAAGTATATACAAAATATTTTATTATCAGTAGAACACTAGATGTAATACTGAAGAAACATCCCCTGACCATAGGAAGAGAGAGCAAAAGACAGAAATCCTTCTGTCCTGGCAATGTTTATATTATAAGTCTGACCTCAAAAGAGAGAGTCATTTTTCAAATATGCCTTTTTTCACAAGAACAGCCTTCATATAAATTGAGTTTTATATACAGCATTGTACTATATTGAACTTTAAAATGTCTAAATTTAAAATAATGTAAAAAGTGACCTGTGGTAGATTAGAAGGAAAGGAAGAGATGTTACACTTTAAATACTTTAAAACTTACTTTGGGAGGCTGAGCCAGGCGGATCATGAGGTCAAGAGATTGAGACCAACCAAGCCAACATGGTGAAACCCCGTCTCTACTAAAAAAATATACGAAAATTATCTGGGCATGGTGGTGAACACCTGTGGTCCCAGCTACTTGGGAGGCTGAGGCAAGAGAATTGCTTGAAACCAGGAGGCGGAGGTTGCAGTGAGCCAAGATCACGTCACTGCACTCCAGCCTGGCGCCTGGCCACACGGTGAGACTCTATCTCAAAAAAACAAAACAAAAAACGTTAAAAACGTATTGTATTTGATGCATCAGAGTCCTGTCCATCAGATATTAAATCCTCAGGGAATCATTGCCCTAAGACAGTGTTTCTCAATCTTTTTGTACTATTGCCCATCTTACGCAAAGAATTTTAAGGTTTATTTTCCTGATCTTCCCTCATTAATATCACAGATACACCTTATATCTGTTTATGTACTGTGGTTCTTTGCCCTGCCACAAACAAATGCAATATCTAAGATGATGTCACCCTTGAAAACAATTTTCACTGCTTCTATGGGTAATGCATGCTGAGGGTCATACATCCAGAGAGCTGACAGTATGGACTTCGGATGATCTCATGGCCAAGCTAATGTACAGAAAGTGGCCAGGAGGCCACAGAAACCGTGGTAACCCTCCACAGATTGCCCAAACAAAAAAGGGCAGCGTATTTTCCTGTAAGTGTGTTCAGGAGAAAAATGGACTTGTTTGAAAAGGGGCAATAAATGTATGATATTTTCTATGTGTTTGAGTGGTTTTATTATAGAAATAGAACTCTTGGGGCTCACGTGGACTTCAAAATTGCATCTAGTCCGGCCAACTGTCTTCAGGCAAAAACATATTTTTGGTCTGATTTTTAAATTGATGAAGCATTTAAGTAGAGCATTTTAAGGTATTTGTTTATGTGGCACAGATTTAAATTCTGACACCAAGAAAAAAAAGTATTGTCAGAAGACGCTTTTGCTTTATCTTTGCCATAATAAAAACGTTGCTGGGACAGATAGAAAGATTTCTTTCTTTTGATCGCCCTTCCTATGGATAGGGGATGTTTTCTCGGTGTTCTGTCTAGTGTTCCACAGATAATAAGAATATTTTGTATATACTGTGTTGTAAAGCCTCCTATTTCAGGGAAATGAGAGTCTAGGTTTTAAATGTTTACTGTGAGTCTGGGCAACTCATCACAATCCTGGCTCTCCAGGATGCCCTGGCTCTCTTCTCTACCCTGGTCTTCGACCTCTTTTCCTAACTTTCCCAACAGCCCTAAATCAGGATCCAGAGCACCTTTACATAGTAGGTTCTCAGTGAGTATTTGCCTACTATGCTGGAGTTTGTTTAAAGTTGGCAGGGACTACATTCTGTGAGAAAAAGAAAATTGCAATGGCAGCAGCAGGGATCCAAACAGGATGTTTGTGGAGTCTGGCAAAATAGGTCCACCGAGTGCACACACCTTATTTTGCTAAAAGAGATCATAGTGACCAGTTGGTTGAAGATAACCAAAGTTAGAAAATGTGAAGGCTAGATTCATGTTTAAAGGTTTTTACCTTAGAATGTTAACACTTTGAAATAATTTTGCATCTTTTTATAGATTTGGCAGAAGTCCAAAGCCTTATGGCATGTGAATAATAAATATTTAATCAGTGGTTTATCACCCAAAGGTTTCTAAAGGCGATTTAAATTAGAGTGTTCAGGGCTGATAAGAGTCTAATATTTGACTTTTTAATGTATATTTT